GAGCAGGATGAAGTAAAGAGTTATTGAAACAAAACAAAATGCAAAGCACAATTGGCATGGCATGTTAGACAGACATGTGAAATTCTTGTTACTGCTTTTGTCGTCTCAGAAAAGTGACTAAGAGGTGCAACGATGATGTAAGAAGAAGAATTGTTTTGTACTAAGGGCCTGAGTGCTCACACACAGGATCATCCCTGACTCATTTTTACACTTGAGATTCCACCTAATAACTTGCCTGAAATTTTTGCATGTTTTCAAAAAAACACTTGAAAAACAAACAAACAAACCAAAATGCATTGAGTCTCCTTCTGCAATACAGACTATTAAACATAGTAGGAAAACTAGCTACTGCATACCTGCATACATTCACCAGAACTGAGAATCAGAATATCGCATGCCTGCATACACTCACCAAAACTGAAAGTCAGAATATTGCATATCTGCATACACTCACCAGAACTGAACATTCTCCTGGATTCTTATATTTTGCTTAATTTGTATTTGTGGTAGAAGTAAAGATTAATAGGACATTTAAAGACCTAACCCCTAGCTCCCTGGCAGTGTAATGCTTCATTATTTATGTGTTTGCTTTCAGTTTCTTATAAGTTCTATTTATGAGTTGTCTAGTGCCATTTGACTCATTCATTGGTATTAATTAATTTTATTGAAAAAAATATTTTTCATACAATCTGTTTTGATCATGGTTTTCCCCAGCCCCTCAGATCCTTCTGGCCTCCCTACTCACCCATCTTTATGTTTTTTTGTCTTCTCTCAAACAACAACTACAACAAAGAAACCAAAACAAAACCAAGAAATACACACACACACACACACACACACGAACTACACACAAAAATGAAAATCAAACCAAACAAGCAAAGGACAAAAAAAATCAAAGTAAAATAAAATAAGTCTACAAAAATCTTTATTATTAAGTTTGCTTGTGCTGCCCAGTGACTCCTGGTCATGGGCCTGCCCTAAAATATGGTTGACACACCCAATGAGACTCCTTTGGAAAAAATTGACCTTCCGTCTTCCAGCAGACAGCAACTGGAGATAGCTTCCTGGTTAGGCATTCGACCCCATGTCTACCTAAAGTCTCAGTGCTGGGACCCCTTCTGACCTGAACCTGTGCAGGGCCAGCAGCTGTCACAGTAGCTGTAAGTTCATATGTGCATCGGTCCTGTTGGGCCTGGAAGACACTTTTTGCTTGGAGTCACCCATCACCTCTGGCTGTTATGATCTTTCCACCTGCTCCCCTCTATGCCACTATTGCACCAATATATCCTGCAGCCAGGTCACTGTTGCTGGTCACACACAGGGTTTGTAGCTGGATGACATGACTGTACCTTTCTCCACTTTTAGTACCGTGAGTGTTAGTCACTAGGACTGAAACATCTTAGGAAGCTTCTACAGTAGTCGGTTTCCATAAATATTTCAAATGGCCTTTAGTGTTAGTTGTCCCTCCCCATATTCCTTTGTTTACCCTGCACCCCGTCCCCTTTCCTATTTAATCTTCCTATTCTAGTTTCCCCTTGTCTCTCCATTACACTTATTTTATTTCCTCTTCCTTGGGAGATCCTTTCCTCCCCCTCTGGTCCCATATTAGGTACCTAATCTCTATGGTTATTTGGGTGAAAGCATATATTTTGAAAGCTTAAAAGCTAACATGTACATAAAAGAGAAAACATAGAATATTTGTCATTTGGGGCCTAGGTTACTTCACTCAGGATACTTCTGTCCTAGTTCCAGCCTTTTAAATGAAAATTTCAGTAATCAGTTTTCCTAACAGCGGAATAGTATTCCATTCTGCAAACGCACCGTGTTTTCAGGATCCATTCATCAGTTGATGGGCACCTAGGCTGTTTCTGATTTTTGGCTATTAGGAACAGTCGGCAATGAGCTTGGTTAAGTAAGAGCCTCTGTAATAGGACACAGAGTCCTTCGGGGATGTGCACGAACATGGTATAGCTGGGTATTGAGGCAGATATATTCTCAGATTCTGGAGGAACTATGACCCTGATTTCCACAGTGGCTGTACGAGTTTGCACTCTCACCAGCAATAAATGAGTGTTCCCCTTATCCAACATCCTCATCAGTATGAGCTGCCATTGGTTTTATTAATCTTGGCCATTTGTTTTATTGATCTTGATCTTGGGTTAAGATGAAATCTCAAAAGAGTTTTAATTTGTATTACCCAGATGGCTAAAGATGTTGAACATTTCATTAAGTGTTTCTTAGTCTTTTGCGTTTTATCTTTTAAGAACTCTCTGCGCCGGCTGGTGGTGGCATACACCTTTAATTCCAGCACTCAGTAGACAAAGATCGGCGGATCTCAATGAGTTTGAGGCCATCCTGGTCTACAGAATGAGAGTGAGTACCAGGATGGACTCCAAAGCTACATAGAGAAACCCTGTCTTGAAAAACAAAACAAAAACAAACAAACGAAACTCTGCTTACTTCTTTTTTTTTTTTTACTCATTGAAAGGAGAAATCTTTATTAAATTATCATTGACACTTAAAAGAAAAGCAAAAAATAATGCTTTAAGTCCCTTAAAACAGCAAGGGAGTAATGAATTTGCTTTTCCATTGGAACCTGCTTCTGAGTTTACTTACCTCAGCAGGAAGCCTGTTAGTTCTAGAAAAAAGCTTCCTACCCTACCTCCATTCCCTGGAGTTCCTGCCCTTTAGGCCGACCCAGGGTCCCCTTAGCATGTTTTCAGTTTAATTTTAAGAATTAAATAACACATAGTTGCTTTTTTAAGTGCAGGCCAAATTTCATATATTCTAGAGCATTCTGACCAGGGTCTACTGTACACTAAAAAGTATTATTACTAATCACCATTTTTTTAAAGTATGTCTATTTGTGTGTATCCTTGTGGGGGTATTTGCACTTGAACACAGGTGCACAAAGATGCCAGAGGATCATCTGGCCACAGGAGCTGTATGACAGGCCATTGTGAGTGCCTAATGTAGGTGCTGGACCCTGAATTCAGGTCCTTTGCGAAAGCAGTGCACATTTTTAACCTCTGAGCCAATTCACTGATTTCTTTTATGATGCTTACGTGGTTTGGGAATTGCTTCATTTCATTTTGATTACCAGTTACACTGGGCATCATTTTCAGAACTTGGTTTATTAGCCTCCTGGAGACGCTGTGATAAAATAGCCTGCACTGGCAGTTTAAACTAAGGAATTGTATCTGGCCTAGTTCTGAAGGCTGCTAAAGCCAGGGAGGTTTCAGGGTCATGCTCACAGAGAAGTATAAAAGACATTCTTTGCCTTTACTTTGGCTCTGGTGGCTGCCAGTAGTCCTTGGCTAGTGGGTGTCGTTGTGCAGCTCCACCTAAAATGTTAGTGTCAATGTCAATTTAAAATAAGCAATAAAATAAGCAGAAGTCCCTCACACCTGGCAAAAGAAACATCCTAGAAATATGGGACAAAGCTAACAACTGTAATAAATATAAAACTTGTACCCTACTCTCAGAGACCCGTGTTAAACTAAGGCAAAATTCCAGCAAAAAGAATGTGATGTACACAGCTCTTTCTCTATTCTAGAAAAAGAGTTTTCAGGAAGGATAGATTTTGTTTCTTTTCTATACGGTTGCGTGCTGGGTACCTTAATATCTAACGCTTCCTCCTGAGGGGCTCACCACTGCCTTATCTCCCTTCTCCCCCACCTTCTTTACAGTATGGCATTTTATCCTACATTCGTGGCCAAATGAGAGTTTCAAATAATTTAGTCTCCCCTTACTTCAGTCATTGCCTTTTTGTATTATTAATCCTGGGAACACTGAGTTTCCTAAACCCTGGCTGTTTTTTCATCCCTCAACCCTCAGACCCTTGAACTAACTGCGCCCCAAAGGTTTTCAGTTGTGAGTACTCAAGCTCTCAACGTTAACTGCTCCTTTTTTTCTGCCTCACTTTGTTTCTCTCCTTGGTGTTGAGCCCCAAGCTGCTGCTGGAGGCTGGGCTGTCACTGCACTCCCAGCTTGCCCTGTCACATCCTTCCCTGCATAAAGGATGTTTCTGAAAGGCATTTTTTCTTTCCTCCTCTGCTTCAGGGGTTTGCAACTTTACTTATCACATTGCCTAGAGAACAGGCCTCTCTCTGAATTTATTAGCTTTTGGCTTCAAAATGGCCTGGAAACCAAAATGATCCTAGGACTCCCGAGTGGCCAAGGGATTTCCTCAAGTGTGTTTCATCAAAGAGGAGCAATTTAACACCCAGGTGTTCTCCTGGAATAACTAACGACCAAGTTGTATTTAGAACAAAATGTCTACTTCAGTATCCTAATACTAAATTTGAAAAGACTCTAGGAAGTAGTTTATTTAGAAATTGGGAAACTATAACAATTGTAGTAATAGAATACATAAGATTATTTAAGATAGCTGTAAAGAGATAGACGGCAGGAAGAAAGAGAGGCTTGGTCTGACCTCAGTTGAGGGGACAAATGTGTGGATGACCAAAAAGCCTACAGAAGATGAGATCTGGTGTCTTACAGCTGCAGAAACTATTACCACTCCCTAACCGCTTTCTTCAGGGCCTGCTGAGCCTGGCATGGAAGCTGAAGTGTAGTCTTTTAGCAGGAAGGTATCAAAACCACCAACATTTATTATGATTCCACTTTGTGTTGTTCAATCAGATGTGGCAAAATTGTTTTTTCATTTAGTCCTGTTGAAATAGAACCAGAATCCAGTTGAAAGAGAGAAACAGGGCTTGGAAAGGTGGCTCGTGCTTACAATCCCTGGACTTTGCAAACTGAGGTGGGCAATTGCAAATTCAAGGACAAACTTGGGGCATTTGGGGTGACAAAGCTTCCCAAACCAAAAAATACAAGCACAAAGTAGCCTTGCTGTAGCTCAATCAAGCAGAGGGGATACTTCATTTCCATTTTATCTCTGTCCCAACACGTGAAAGAAACCCAATATGAAATTTGAGATCCCGGGTTTGTTTGTTTTTTTTTTTTTTTTAACCTATTTCTAACCGCTTGCTTTTCAGATTTGCTTGGAAGCATAGAAGAAATCCTTCCCAGCCTCCCCAAGCACATTCGTGTTTGGGGAATGAAGGATTCTGTTCCACAAGGTGTAGTTTCACTTACAGAAAAGATGAACTTGGCCTCTGATGAGCCAGTGCCCACAAGCCATCATGTCGCCTCAAGCCTCAAGTCTACGTGCCTGTATATTTTTACCTCTGGAACAACAGGTATTCGCTCTGTGTGTGTGTGTGTGTGTGTGTGTGTGTGTCTGTCTGTGTATGTGTCTGTCTGTGTGTGTGTATGTGTCTGTATGTATGTGTGTGTGCATCTGTGTCATCAGTGCTGGGACTGCACAGACATGCACATACCAATAATTAAAAATAATAAAATCTTAGATCGGATGTGTAAGATCTCAAACTCGGGACTGATGTCTAACTGAGGTGTCTATTTACATATCAGAGTGGACTTGATCCCCAGGTTCTCCCAGCTTCTCTCAGTACCTGTTACAGAGTCATCCTGGCTGGCATACACTGCCCCCTTCCCTTCCTCCAGCTTCCACAAGAACCCAGCCATTTGGGCTAGGTCTCTTGGTCCTTAGCTCCTCTCTTGCCTCCCTCTCTCTTGTCTTCCTCCTTTCTTTCCCTACCCCTCTTTCTCCTCTCATGGCCTGGTCCAGTCTGGACTCTTCCAGATGCCTCTGCCTACGCTCTCCCTCATAGCTACAATAAACCTTCCCCTTCTGCCACTAATCTAGGAGTCTTGTTTTCATTTTTTTTTTAATTCATGATCCCAGCACTTGTGAGGCAGAGGCAGGCGGTACTCTATTATTACTTCAAGGCCGGCCCAGTCTACAGAATGAGTCTAGGCCAAACAGTGAAACATAGAGAGATAGTGAGAGCCTGTCTCAAAAACAATTTTCCAGTCATTTGTAACAAATTAATATCTGAGGAATCATGCCTGAAAGACCTATGGTTCTCAGGTCTTGGAACTTTCAAATGCAGGTGGGGAAGTTAATTGCTTTGGCTTTAAAAGGTAGCTTGTTTCGATTTTGGCAGATGCTGGTGCTCATTGGCCTTACTCTCGTTTGAGATTTCCTTAGGGAGTGAAATCCAAGGATGCTGGAATTTCTGAAGACGTCAACCCAGTCCCAGAGCTTAGCCAATTTCTTAGACACTATTTTTGCTCTTTTTCTGGACCTCAGATTCTGGTACCTAATAATGAAGAGAATCATTTAGGTAGTTGCTAGTTACCTTCCTTTCACTTTCAAACCCTGGCCAAAAGGCTAAGTGAGGTGCCTATTTAACGCATCAAAGCGGACCTGGCTGCTGGGTTTTTGGCTGCTGGGTTCTTCAGCATCTCTCGGTTTCTGCCAGTTCCAGGGTGTGGCTAGCATACCCTGCCCACTACACTCTCCAGCCCAGAACCTGAGCTGCCATTACCCGAGAGGCTCTTTCCTCTAAAGACAGGCATTTAGGTTACCTACACTTTTGTACATTTGCCCTCTTAGCTGCTGCAGCTTGTCCCCCTCTCCCACTTTCCCTTCCCCATGTGAAGAGGTCACAGTTCCGCGTCATCAAGTCCACTCTGGACTCTCCCAGATGGTCCAGTCTCTGCGTGCACTCTCCCTTTCATCTGTAGTAAGTTTTCTCCTCCATCCTACCTAGGAGTGGTCATGTTCCTTTCCTTTTCAGGTCTCTTTTTCCACGCCCCTTCTGTGTTTAAAAACTTGATAGTGGACTCTTAAGCAGTTCTTTCTATTCCTGACTTGTGGTGCAGGTGACAGCTCTCCTAACTTTCCCAGAATAACTGAGTCTTGTGACTCCCTGGAAGTCTGGAAAGCTTAGTGAGTCCCAAGAAAGAAACAAAACGGGCTTAAGTAACTCAGCTTTCCTTACTGGGGGGAACGGTTGAATGGTGCTAACCAAAAGAAGATAATGAAACTGCTTGAGAATGCACGAGAATTCTTTACCTTTTAGGAAGCCCTGAGAACTGTGAACGACAAACCAGGGAGGCTCTGTGATCAGACTGACAGTTGGAATTTTGTTTCCATGCTTCAATATTGCCATTCCTATGTGTGTGCCATGCCCTAAGCAAAAATGCTAGTACACATGAATTAAGAAAACTGACCAGACAGTAATTTGGTGCATCTTCTCCCTTTTAGTTCTTTAGGAAGCAGACTATATTTTAAAATATGATTAGAATGAATAAACTTAAAATGCTTGTATGTATGTTTGTTAGCACAATTTTAGTTGGATATTGGTATTTGAAAGAGAATAACTTTAGAAAAGGGGGTTTCTTTTTATTCCAGCAGAAAGTGTTTAGCCAGTTTGCTGACTTTGTGACTGTGTTCTTGTGGCAAGTCAGGGGTGACTTAAAGACAGTCTCTTACCTGTCCACTCCAATGAGGGCAGACTGGAGCAGATTGTGACACGCATTTATTTCATCTTTGGGGTCAAAGCTGAGACATTTTGTGCTGTTGCACAACTGGCTGAGAGAGAAAGCACTACTAATTTTACATTTATTATATTGCAATTATATAGCCTAGAATTGGGAAAAAGTTGTGGATCTGTGAGAGAAAAACACTGTATTTATTTTTTAATTTTGCTTCAAAGGCAGAAAGTATGGACATAATCTTTCTTTGAACAAACGTGCTTCTCTATGTCTAGTGAGAACAGGTAACTTAGCAGACACTTAGCACCCATCTACAAACATCTACAAATGGTTCTTGGTTCCCCTGCACCCTGGCCCTCCACCCACTTCCTCTTTCTACCGTACTTAGATCAGTGTCATAACAGTGGACACTTGCTGACTGAGCCATATGGAATGCAGTTTACATGGACCTCTCTTACATGTAAGTGGAAATGAATAGCTTCAGGGAACTGTTAGTTGAAGGGAGTGTTGCTTGTGTGTAGCAGGTGAGACAAGATGAAGGATGAAAGCAAAAGATAACAAAGAGAAGGAATGGATTATACGAAGGTTTAGAGAGATTAGGGATGCCAGTGGGAAGTCAAGGGGCAGTAAGGAACCCTACCTCAAGTGCTACATGGGAGAGGGGCCAGTGGATAAAAACTTATTGAAGCCCAGGGGCATTATCCCTTTGATTACTCTGTAGGGATCATGTATGGGATAGTTTAAAAAAAAAAAAACACCAATGAAGAAGGGTTTTCACATGCCCCTGGTGTTGATCATTGCGTTTATCATGGTCAAACCTATGGGTGTGGGTTAGTGACGTGAGGGACGTGTTCCTGGAGCACAGTCTCCTGGTCATAGAAAGTTCTCAGAACCAGAAAGAGATAACTGGGCTTCCAATAGCATGGATTCTGAGATAACAATAATATTGAACTAGTTTGCGATGCCACCTACTCCACAATGAAAATGCAGTTGTAGATACTGAAGGAGCCCCATGCATTCTGTCAAGTCAATATTTAGACACCCCTGTTCCAGACACCCTTCCTTCCCCTTCAGTCCTGTCCAGCTGCTGTGCTGTTTTTGTGTATTTGTTCTTCGCCATCACCTTGGGAATTCCTTCAGTGTTTTCTTGGTTCCCTACTAACTAGAGCCTCAGTTATTTCTTCAGTCTTTCTCCCTTGCCAAGATACTTCAGAAAACAGCAAGCTCAAGAAGTACATTAAAGTCCCCTGATAGGTGACAGGAGCTTGGGATGTAGTGTTGCTGGTTCTGGACCAGCCTCTCCGTGACAGGTGCTTAATTTGAGAGCTGGTTTACTGTGGGCAGGGACACTACATGGGATGGACAGTGTGGTGATGAAGGCGTAGAACATCTCTTTTGCAGAAAAAGCCAGAATATTTGCTCCTCTGGATGAGGAAGGGAAAGCTGTTCTTTAGAATCGTGACTAGAACTAGTCTCATGTCACCTACTAATATGTAGTTTTGAGGAGGAAGCCTGGAGGGATTCTCGGTAGAGGGTCTAAAAGTCCAAGCTTTTGGGAGCAGTTACAAAGGATTCTTTTTAAGAAAGACCATGATTTTATGATAGTGGTGAATATTATCCCAACTTCACATATGAGGGCAAGTCTAATCCCATTAGGGAAATAGAGCACAAAGTCTGTCAGGATTTTCAGAGCTGGTACCGAACGAGGCAGGCTTGAGACTTTCTGGAGCGCACTTGACGTCTCTGTGGTCTGTGACCCTTCCTTCGATGTCTTCTGTGGTCCCCTGCCACCCTTGACTTTGCCTCTCTGCCTGCATCCAGGAAACCCCCCATTTGGCCTTATCCCCTTAGCATTTTATAATGCAAACAAGTCTATTAATGAGATTGATCTGTTAGTTTCTGTTGCTCAGGGGATGGAATTCAGTGCCACATGCTCTTTTATGCTGACCGGGTGAGCCCTTGACCACCAAGCCCCACCCAACTCAAGCCTCAGTGAGAGAGATTCAAAATGGCCGCCTGTGCAGGAAATCATTTGGAAAAACTAAAACCCTTTAAATTCTAAGAAGAATAGGATGAAATCAGATCTAATGAACTAATTGGAGTGGTGATTGTTATCATCAGGAATACAAGTTGTGTTCCATGATAGAGACATATAGCTGGAAAGACATAGAAGTGCTAATGGCCAACCATGATCTTACAATGTCATATGGGTTAACCAATCAGATCATTTTAATGGATGAATTTCTTACACTGACATTATTACTTTCTATAACAATAACAAATCCCAAAACAGTAAGGAAAATATTTACCCATAGATGCCAGTACTAAGGCACTATGCAAAATACAAATATTTTATATATTACTTACAACTGTATATTTTCATAAGAAACTAATTATGTGTGAAGGAAGACTAGACAGAGAAGGAACGTGTTTGGCTCATGAAATGTGTGGAACCATTGCAACATATTTCATGAACCTTGTATTTTTGAAGTATCATATGAGACGACATGGTTAAACATTACAAAAGGATCATATACAAGACATGGCTAATCCCTACAAAGTAAGCGGTCTACAGGGCGAGTCCTACCTGGAGAAGTTGTCCTCTGGAAAGCTTCTACTTTATGTGCAATTTAGATGCATATTATAATTCCTCTCATTTGGGGGCATGTATTTGTAGATGTTAGCATTTCTTTCATTAGTTTCTGGCAGACACTGCACTCTGATTTTGTGTGGTTTTGACTTTTTTTTACAGAAATTAAAGACTGCAGAACCTCATGATAGCAGCAATTCACATTGCACATTTACTGGAGGGCATCTAGAAAAGTTTGAGGCCTTTTTGTCTTAATTCTTTGTGTTGTTAGTATCAGGATAATCTTTCTTCATAAATCTATGTGTAATGGGACATATATATTTGCACACAGACAGACAGACACACACACACATACACACTTGACAAATAACAGTGACCGTGACCTGCCTAGTAGGTTCAAGTTACTCTGGAAGCATGTTCTGCCACTGAAGGGGTTTCATGGACTTCTGTAGCTATGGAACAAAGGAAATTATAAATCAATTTATTCTTAGAATACAGTGTGGACATTAGATAAGCTGGCTACAGCAAGGTGGGAAAATTCTTTCAATATATTTTTGATATTACTTTAAAGCATTCTTAGCTATAGGTTGGTGGAGGCTAGACTCCTGCAAAGCTTGTTCCAAAAAGCTTGCCCAATGGTTATGAGAAAATTAGCTCACATACGAAAGTAAACACAAATAGCCATTTCCTAAAGCATGTAAGCTGTCTGAAGATGATTTTGGCTCTCTGCCTACATTTCACCTTTCTCAATTATGACACTGTACCTCACTGCCATCAATTTGCATGATCTTTAATGTGGACAGGAATCCTTCCAAGAACTCAGAGTCCCTCAGAGAATGTGTGGGGGTTAATTTTTCTTTCTTTTCTTCTCTTCCAGGTCTGCCCAAAGCAGCTGTGATTAGTCAGTTGCAGGTGTTGAAGGGATCCTTTGGGCTGTGGGCTTTCGGCTGCACAGCTGACGACATTATTTATATAACCCTCCCTCTTTACCATAGCTCAGGGGCTCTCCTTGGAATTGGTGGGTGTGTTGAGTTAGGTAAGTTTGCTTTTTCTTTTTGATGGCTCACCAAAATATTTAGTCTGAGCTTGTGCTTATTGGAACTTACAAATATTCATAGAAGTCCAAGGAACTACATATTGCATAAATACATTGTAATATCTGAGACAAGGAGACATTTTTGTAACATAGCACACTGCTAAACTACAAAAGTCAAATCTTGGGCATTTGCTCTTGTGATTTCAGCCCTGTATAGACTCCCTTTTTCTTGTGGTTGCTCATTCTCTAGCAGACCAGCTCCAGGATCATCAGGCAGTCAGTCACAGGGAGTAAACATGTCAGTCACATAGTTGTTCAGAGCAAGCTCCCAAAACTCAAGGGTCACTTCAGCAGCATTCTGCTGAGCAACACAAGCCAAAGCTCAGACGAGCATCTAGACTGGAACAGTGGGAAAATAAACTCTACCTCTTCCAGGCAAGAAGAACAAATTTGTATTACACAGGTAAGTGAGGGGAAGGAATTGGAAAGGCCAGTTTCTTTTCTTCCCAGTCTGTCCTAAAACACCCAAGAACATTTGAGATAAAGTGTATGACTCAGGAGGTTCCATTTGAAGACATGCAGCAGGATGCTGCATTCACTAGCTATGAAATACTAGAGCTCATTCATTACCGATTGTGCATGCCTGGTACTCAGTTGCAGCTTACTCAGAGTGCGGTCAAGATTCACAGGAAAAGAGCTTCCATCATTAAAAACATCTGTAAGAATCTGGACAAAGAATCTTACATTCCTATCACAACTGGATTGTTAGATGTGAGTGTAGGGTCATAGTCACCTCTCCACAGACACCACAAGATGATCATTCGTGCACACACATAAAGATCACCTTGTTGGGAATTAAGTAAACTGGATAACAGAGCAGAGCGCTCAATTTTAATACAGTAAAAAGGAAGGGCATGCTGAGCAAGCCACAGGGGAAGGAACTGCCACCATGTTGCCCCGTAAGCAACTTTAAGTAGCTTATTAGAGGGAAGGAGAAAAAAGAGAGGGGAAGAGGGAGAGAGGGAGGAGAAGAGAGAGAGAGAGAGAGAGACAGACAGAGAGAGAGAGAGAGAGAGAGAGAGAGAGAGAGAATGAGCCTATCTTTGTGGAAGAGAGAGAGAGATTTGATCTATGTCTATTATTGAATCCCAGTACCCGACCTCCCATGGTGGAATCCACTGCTAGCCAGAGCACCAAGGACACCAAAATTGTGTGGACTGAGCTATAGAAATGCCTTAAGCTGGTTTACTAACTGCCCCAAGAACATCTTCTTGAACAGCCAAGGGCAGAGTTGGAAGTAAGATTCCATCACTGTGAGAGTCTGTGTGTATGTGTAAGATCTCAGAGCCAGTAAAACATGGGGTAGTCATATGATCAAGTGATTCTATTCATGGATACATGTCCAAAAGAACTGAAAATATGCAAACACACTTGACCATGCTTGTGCGTGTTACCATTAGTGTTGATGGCCAAAAGAACGAGTAACCCCAATAAGTATTACTAATGAATTAACAAATAGAATGTTGCATATCCATGGATATATTCAACCATAAAGAGGATGAAATACGGATGCATGTTACAAGATAAACAGACCCAAATCACATTTTATAGTAAATGAAAGGACCAGGCACAATATGCCATATTAGTCAATAACAAGCAAATTTAAGGTAGATGTACATAAAAGATTGTCAAGGGTAAGGGAAGCTGGAAATTGCTGCTAAGGCGGTTAAATTCCTTTGGGGTAATAAAAACAAAGGCCCTAGACTAAGATGATGACACTGATGGCACCTTTGTGACCCTAAGAAAAGCCACTGGGTTGTATGTGTTTAATTGTGAATTAGATTCCAATTAAAAACAGGATATCATGTTAAAAATATGTTATTAAAACTCGACACTTTATCCATTGGCGAACTTTTGTCAGTGGAATTTTAGCATAGCTCCTTAAATCTCTGCTTTGGGGTATGACAGATATAAAGTCTTCAGAACAAATTGCATGTTTTTGTGCAAAGATAAAATGAGTCAATATCACTCATCTCTGAGACGAAGGATGGAAGGCTCTCCCAGAGCTTGTGGTAGTATACACGGACTTCTACACTGGCATACATGGACTTCTATACTTGTGGAAGTATGCATAAACTTCTTACTAATTTTGAAGGTGGTTCCATTCCACAAACTGCAAAATGCACATTTGCAGTCAGAACTCATAGCTACCACAGGACTGCACTAAGAGATTACTGGGCTGTAAAAGTAATGTTTCCAAATCAACTTGCTAGCAGTCACTGAAGATGAATTATCAAAACCCTGGAAGGGAGCGAATCTGTTAAGACAACCGAATCATTTGAGTTTCATGGTAGTTACTGCCTGTTTTGACCTCTTCCCACAGGTGCTACGTGTGTGTTAAAGAAGAAATTCTCTGCAAGCCAGTTTTGGAATGATTGCAAGAAGTACAACGTGACTGTGTTTCAGTACATCGGAGAACTTTGCCGTTATCTGTGCAAACAGCCTCAGGTAGGAGAAACCAGTCCAGGAGGTGCTGAGGATTTCAGACGGAAAACGTGCTGGGGAGCAGGGCAGGAGGCAATTTTGGTTTCTTTGCTTTCACTCCACAGTCTTCCAGAACATAATTTATCAAAGACCCAGAGGTGCTTACAAAATACAAGATGAAATAAATACGAAAGTTCTGGAAAATAAGAGACAGACTACCCAGTAACGTGTCAATTGTGTGCTTTGTTCTGTAGCAGGACAGGACAGATCCATGTGCTAGCGTACTGCAAGTCCAGGCTAATTCAATTTTATTATGAAATTTATTATGAAATTAGATGCATATGATGCTTACAGAAAAATAACTCCAAGCTTAAAATTGGCAATGCTTCAAAACTCTGTACTTTTAAAAGAGCAAATTGCACTTTACTATTTTTTTGAATAAATGATTATATTGGGTATAGTCCTGTTAATGTTTTTAGCATTAAAAGGAAACTTTATTGGTATTCATCTCCCAACCCCCAAAGCAGTGGATCTGACATCCTTTTGATCAGCTGTCACTGCATGAGAAATAGGTCAGTGTAGAAATTTGTCAAAGCCTAGAGTGTATCTTTGTGGCTTATTTGCTTTCTCTGTCCTTGCCTTTGTTCTGGTCTCATTTATCTTTCCAAATATTTTTTAAAAAGAAAGAAAAAAAGGAATAAAAGCTTTCTGACTTCCTAAACACTCTTGACAGCAAAGATGTAATTTTTTTTTTCTTTAATCAAATCAACATCAGCCAGAGAAATTGTGAAGCATACTACCCTTCATGAGGACAGACAGTGGAGCCGTAACTGAGCTATACCTCCTGGCCTGAGATCCCTCACTCAGCCCAGGATGGTGGGCCGTCTCCTCTGTTTTTACTGGTTAAAATATGAAGACTACTTCCATTAATTATTTCCAATGCTGATGAGATGAGGCAGGGACAAATACAACTTTTTAATTATGTGGGATTGCACGAGACAGATGAACACAGAAAAGAATGTGGACTTGGATAGCCTGATCTACAAGATGCTTTTATTGGTGATCTTGGGGAGATTTCTTATCTACCCTACCTCCTCCTTTGGTTAGAAGCTATCTATTTTTTTTAAATTAGCAAATCTGGATTTATCTAAAGAACATGTGGTTTCATTATCCCTCCTTAGCATTATTTTTTAAATAAAAATATGTACATGAGGTTTCAAACCATGGTCTATGGGATTCTCAGTTTTGCCCCCATACTGTAAACCGACCTAACTTCCTGCCTGTACTAGTTCAGTGTGTTATTGCAGTGCTTGCAAGGAAAGCCCACTGTCAGAACGCGTGATCGTGCTTAAAGATGCATTGGTGTGTGCTAGACATATGCATGCATGCATGATGATCAGTAGGCTGTAGAACTAAGAGGTCTCCTTTAGAATCAGAGTGGAAGGACCAACTTTCCTACTGTCTACTGTTTGTGCTTTAGATGATCATTCCAGGGTGAAACGCTGCTTCCTGCAGGAAACAGTTTGCCATGCGGAGCTGTAGGCAGTAGTTAATTGGTTTTGTGTCCGGTACTTCTGCCTCTACATGTACAACAAACATTCTCATTTCCTTAAAACGTAAAGTTACATAGAGTTCTCTGCATTTAAAGAGAAACTATGGAGTTTCAGGTTTTCTAGGCAACTGAAGAGGGTCTTCGAGCCAGTTGCAGTAGGGTTTTTCAGAGCTGGATGGAGTCCATGTTCTGGAAGAAAAAGACTGTTTCGGAATTAGTGATCTGTAGTAGGTAACTTCCCTTTAGTTCCTGGTGCACGAGACAGTAGAAGAGGTTTTTAAAGAAAATGAAAGCTTCAACGTTGGTGTGGCTCCTTCATGGATGTCATCACACCAGTCTGGTTCTTTGTACTGAAACCCAAATGATCATGCCTGCTGAGAACTAAGCCCATGGGATATCTGTGAGAGAAGATCTCACTCTGTCAGAAATCTGGGTAACCTTTATATGGCTGAAGAGTAAGCAAGTATTTTATGTGGTTTAGATAATGACTTATGTATGTATCTATCTATCTATTATCTATCATCTATCTATCCATCTATCTACCTATCATCTATCTATTCATCCATCATCTAACTATCTCTATCTCTCATTCTTTCTATGTGTGTGTGTAACTATATAAATATTTGGCAGTAAATTTGTAAAAGATTCTGTTAGCCTTTTCTGAAATCTTAAGAGAAAATCATTTAAAAGCACATGAGTGCATGTACCCATGCCCACACTTAATTTAAAATGTAAACATTTTTCCTTTAGGCCCTTGAGTAATTTAATTACTTTAAACAGTATAGCATCGATCCTTAATCTGTCACATGCTCTCATAAGACAGCATTTTCCCATGTAACTGACAGGGTGGTAACTGTTGTGGGGAGCTGCTGGCCTGCTTTTCGTCCCGCCCAGCTCCCGCATGGCTAGCTTTACACCAGAAATAACAACACACAAATTGTATTCATTTAAACACTGCTTGGCCCACTAGCTCTAGCCTCTTACGGGCTAATTCTCATATTTTGCCTGACCCATTTCTAATAATCTGCGTAGCATCGTTAGGTGCACTTACTGGGAAAGATTCAGCATGTCTGACCTGGCGGCTTGCTTCATGGCGTCTGCCCAGGAGAGGGGAGCATGGCCTCTGAGCTCACTTCCTCTTCCTCCCAGCATTCTGTTCTGTTTACTCCTCCCACCTATGTTTTAACCTATGAGGCCAAGCAGTTTCTTTATTTTTTAACCAATGACCTTCCTCCATCAGGTAACTTTATAAAACTTTAATTCAGCCTATCCCTTGAATGATCTAGTTATCTAATTTGACTGTGCACATAAGCATTAATGACACTCAAGAGTATATCTTAATTCAGTCATATATAACCATACCCCATTTTCTATACCATTTCCCTCCTTTCTGCTCTTCAGTCATTGCTCTACCTGTGATACTCTACCTTTTTATGTTGGAAGCATCCTTTGTGGTCTATCTAGTACCACTCTACTAAAGATGAATGTTTAGTTTTACATATCTTCGTAAACATTTTTTATCTAAACGAATGTGTGTGTTTATGTGTGAGTATGCTGCACGTGTGTAGGTATTCTCAGAACCCTGGAGCTGAAGTTACAGGTGCTGGGACCTGAACTCAGTTCCTCTGCAACTGAACTCAGATGCCCAACAAGAGCAGCAAATGCTCTAAACCACGGACTTATCTCTCCAGATCTAGCGCATGTTTAGTGTTTAGTTTTCTGAAGATATGTTTTGTTTTTAAAGTTTTAAACAATATGTTCAGAGAATATAAAATAGACAAAAAATTCCACAGTCTCTTTAAGAATGATCTCTCTCTATGTCTGTGTGTGTGTATCTCTCTGTCTCTATTGCTCTCTCTCCTCTCTCTGTCTCCCTTTCCCTTTTGTTTCTTCTCACTTTATCAGAAGATGTTCAAGCACCATCCTTATATTTATTATTTTAAATTTTTTTTTGACCTTGAGTACATAGCTCAATAGTCTCCCATCCATTTTAGAAACTGCTGTTAAATTTAATGGTTTTTGTTTTATTTTCTTACTGTTCTGCAGATACAGACATTTTTCTCTTGGACAGTTTTCATGGCAGCCCATACATCTTAGACATCCTTTCACAGGCTTCATCCTATAAAAATCGATGCTTTAATAATATTTCAGAATGGCGTCAAAATCTAACTACAGATGTATGGTACTTGGGAGCCAAAGGTTTAGATTCTAAGATGCCTGGGAAGAGATCAAGCCATTTTATTGAGGCACTTCTAAAAATTGATGTGTTTTTCTCTTAAGTCATATATCTGATAACTCAGGAGTGTACTGCTCTTGTTCAGAATAAATGTCAGAGAATCACAGTTAGGGCGGGGTACTTCCCTAATCTGAAAGGAACTGCCATTAAATGCTTCTGTTTTACTAATGTCTCAACCCCAACTGTTTTCTCTATATTTGGAATTCAGAGAGTAACTTCCCTCGCATCTAGACAATAAGGAGCAAACAAGGGAAGACAGCCAGGCAAGCTTTATAGTTCCCTCATTCACGGGATTACTTGACACTGGGGAGCACTGATTGGCTCCCCCATATAGGCTTGTGCATCTACCTCACTAATTCTTAGTCATGTCTTTTTACCTGTTTACCTTTTAGGCTCCCAATCACATCTCGTCCCTTTCTATTTATTCTTGAGCATTCATAGGTTAGAACATTTTAGTTAAAACCCTTTGGTGGTGCTTAGAGAAGAGGCTGAAACATCCTGTGGTCAGTGGATCATATGTTACCAAGAGGTAGTTCTGAGCAAATCATCAATTTACTGGGATTACAATGATAATAAGGCCTTACTTGAACTTAAATGTGCATTAGCCACATTAATTGACATTTTTCTTGAACATGGAACAAAATTCATTTCTTCTTTAATTCGAAATACAAAAAAAGCATGTGAAGATTGTGCATTCTAAACTATGAGTTACATCCCATTGTCTCATTTTAAGTTAACTATTTCATTGGTTCTAAGGGTTTAATTTACTGTTATCTCCTATGTGGGTCTATAGCCTTTAATATATATTTACATATATGAGTGTGTATGCATATATATGTATATATATAGATTTATAAATAAACAAAATCAGAGTGGGAGTCAATATCAACATTATACAGGTAATAAAAGATAGGCCTAGGAAATAAACTTTAAATATTTCATAATCCTTTAAAAGTTTTTCACATCCTGAAATATACTTTCTTCTAAGTGTCTACCCTCCCAAAAAGGGTCTTCATAATTTGTAATTTGGGAAGAACACCCCCTCCCACATATGAAAAGGAACCAGATGTAACCCAGAGTTATTTGTTAACTACTGGACACGTTTCTCCAACAAAACTCTGACTTGCTTACTGTGTTTGCGTCTCTTCTCCTATTGTGCATGCCCTGTTTACTTTTAGGACAGTTACCTTAAAAATAGCAGGAATAACAGAGAGAGCGAGAAATGAGTTATTTACCAGTGAAATCTTTTCTTCTGACAGAGAGATGGGGAAAGGGACCATCAGGTGCGTTTGGCAGTTGGAAACGGTATGAGCAGTGATGTGTGGAGACAGTTTTTGGACAGATTCGGAGATATTAAAATGTGCGAATTCTATGGCGCTACAGAAGGAAACATCTGCTTCATGAACCACACGGGGAAGATTGGGTCAGTCGGGAGGACAAACTTCTTTTACAAGGTAAACAGTGCTTTCTCTATAGGAAATACGTTGCGTTCTACAAACTCTTGTCTGGAGCTTAAACTTCTACCTTGTGAACATTTTTTTTTAAATCACAGTTTTGAAGCTGAGGCAAGTGTCTGCAGAGGTGGCTGTGGGTGAGCCACAATGCCGTGGGTTCTGCAGACTCCAGTCACCTGCCTTGCCCTCCCTCCGCAGCAGGAGGATGACGGTTTACTTTCGCTGAGTTTTCAAGTTCAATGTTTAAGAGTAAAGCGCAAGTCCTGGATGAGTCTCTCTCTTTCCCCTTGAGTCTTTTTCTCCCACTACTTCTTACCTCTGATCATTTATACCATGTTGAGTTATAAAAGCTCCCTGCTAGTACACAGCAATAATATATTTTTTAAAGAATGAAAATTAAAGCAAGGACACAGAACGTGAGCACCGTTTCAGGCAGCTCCTGGTGGTGCTAACTCCAGCTGCGTGGGATCTGATGCCCTCTCCTGGCCGCTTCGGACACCTGCACACCCAGGACAATTACTCCCAAACACGTACACATGCAGATTCACAGAAATAAAGATAATTTTAAAAATTATTAAGAAAGGTGAAATTTTTGTTTAAACAACCTTAAAATTTGTTTTTAAAAACACATCAAGGAGAAATAAACAAAATTGCAATGATATAGGATGTTTGAATAATTCAATAAACAAGCTGCTTAAACTAAGTGGTATTTGTGGGGCCTGTATCTATTAGATGTACAATACCCTTTCTTTTCAAGCACTTGGGAAACATTAAAAGAAATTACCAGACCACTTAGGAAATTAAGAAAAAATTGCGATCATATGAAAACCCCAAGCATGTAATGAAGATAACTAGTATTTTACGTTGCTGGCTCAGCTTCTTTCTAGTGTCCTCCTGAGAAACCTCTGTGATGTCAGTAATACAAGACATCACATTGTCTCCATTTGTTTCTGAGAAATACTGATTTTTCAATTCATTTTAGTCCAGTTGTTCATAGTATTTTTTAAGTTATTCTGGACTATATGGGTTTTACCCTGTCTTTTTACCATTTCAGCTACATGCTGTCTGCTTATAGTACAAGTAATAAAAGCATCAATGATTGTTACATAAGTAGGCAAGGAGAGTTTTTAAGTATGTCTCTTAAAGCTTCAAACCTTGCCAGGAATGGTGGCACTTGCCTTTAATCTGAGCATTTGGGCACAGAGGCAGGCAGATCTCTGTGATTTTGAGGGCAGCCTGCTCTACATAGGGAGTTTCAGGATGGTCAGAGTCCTATAGAAAGTCCTCTCAAAACAAACAAACGTACAAAGAAAAACAAAACCTTGTGAGCTTACTGTTTTGAGGGGAATCAGCTTCCAACTAGAGAGATAATGTTAAGAGTGAAGGAGAAATTTCTGTAGCCCCAATATGTATATAACTGTAATCCATGCTCTTTGAAGAGATGACATCCATTAAATTTGCCCAATGTAAACAAAATAAAAGTTTGTAAATAATATATGTGTGAAACAAACTCAAGGTTATGAGCAGCTATCACTTTTTCCAATGCTAATCTGGAGAAATAATTTTGTTGTTATTGTTGTGTATCTAGTATATTTTATTTAAAATGCCTTTCAGTGATAGAATTTCATATTTCACAGTTGTTGAGATTTTAGAATTCTTACATATACACAATATTTGATTTGGGGAATGGAACACTAGTCTGCATATATAAGTTTACCTGCTTCACATATACCCTATATATGCAGCCTAAAAATAACTCAGTACAATAGCTTTAGTGGGCTTGAATTTTTTCTTTTTTTATTGATTTTATTGAGTTATACATTTTTCTCAGCACCCCTCCCTTCTTCCCCCCTTCAACCCTCTCCCATGTTCCCCAGGCTCCCAATTGACTCAGGAGATCTTGTCTTTTTCTACTTCCCATGTAGATTAGATCCATGTATGTCTCTCTTAGAATCCTCATTGTTGTCTAGGTTCTCTGGGGTTGTGATTTATAGACTGCTATTCTTTGCTTTATGTTTAAAAAGCAATTATGAGTGAGCACATATGACAATTGTCTTTCTGGGTCTGGGTTACCTCACTCAAAATGTTTTCTAGCTCCATCCATTTGCCTGCAAATTTCAAGATGTCTTTTTTTTTTTTTTTGGAAGCTATAAGTATAGACCAAAAGGAGCTGATGACAAATCATATCAAAATAATAAGTGCTTCAAAGAGATCAAGAATGCCTACACAAATATTTTTCCCATCAATTCAGGAAAAGATCATAACAGTTTTCTCTTTAAAAAATCAGAGCTCTGGGCTGGAGAGATGGCTCAGCGGTTAAGGGCATTGCCTGCTCTTCCAGAGGTCCTGAGTTCAATTGCCAGCAACCACATGGTGGCTGACAGCCATCTGTAATGAGATCTGGTGCCCTCTTCTGGCATACACACAGTCAGAATATTGTATACATAATAAATAAATAAATATTTTAAAAAAAATCAAAGCTCTGGTAAGAGGTCTCAGGGGCAACATAGATCAACAAAGAAATTAGAAATGAAACAAGTTCATCTCAAAGAAATAAATGAAGAAAAATAAACATGTAATAGAAATTAATATCACATTAAAAGTTTAAAAACAAAACAGATTGTAAACATTGTTGGAGAGAAAGTGAACAGTATTAAAGATTTGTGCACACAGGTTAAAAGATAACTCTTAAATGTAGACAGTTCTGGCACGTGCTTAACTGTTCTTGCAGAAAAGGACTGGTCACAGAGAAAAATAATTCTTTCAACTATATTATTAATAATTAGTATAGTTATACTAAAAATAAGTATAACCATACTAACATTAATTCTCTTAACTGTACTAGATGAAAATACTCGTGAAGATTGAATCTTTAGCCAAAGAGGGTACTGTGTTCCAGGAAATGAAGTATGATGCAGAATAACAGACAGGAAAAGACACACTAGTGAAGTGAATGAACGAAATGCAAAGAACCAGGTGATGCTGAGGCATTAAAAACAAAACAGGACGGGATGTACAAAACATAGCTTGGTTGACAACGTGGCATAGGAAGCTCTCAAATACACAAACAGAATGCCAAAGGCCAGACCAAAAAATGAAGTACCTTCATCTAGGGATTTTAGTATGAGTTAAATTGCTCTCCCAGTATAAGAACAACAAAGGAATTTTCTAAAAGTTTTACACACAAATAGAGAATAAAATATATGTGTGCTATAAGAATATTGTTCTTCTCTGAGAAAATGAATTGAATGGAAATATCTGGTAAGTCTGAAAATAAAACAAAACTTAGAAGATGGCACCTTCAATTTAAAAAGTTTGATGGCCAGTATTAACGCAGTTTAAACACAGAAAATTAAACAGATCCACTTTAGGCCTCTGTATGGAATGAAAACAAAATCTGAAAATATAAAATGTATGTATTACGAGCATATACAGGAGAGAGCAGGGAGGAAGTTTAGGTGGTCTTTCTTCCACAGCAGTAAACCCAAGGATATACTAATAAAGATAAAATGTGGGGTTGTTAAAAAGTCTGTTTCCTAACGTTTTTACAAGCTGTTTAATCATCTTAAATGTAATCATCTCTCCACCATGAGCAAAGTTGGCCAAAGGCAAAGTCAGAGCTCATTCGCCATAAGACTTCCTGCATTTCTGACATCACCAGCAATTCCACGAGCCTCCAGGACCACCTTTGGGTGACAAGAAATCAGCTGGCTGGGAGCTGATACACTCCAGGTGACAGTTTATCACAACTAAAGGACAGTGTAAATCTAACCAAGGGAACCGCTCATGGACGGAACCCAGAGACTGTCTTCTCTTCTAGACTCAGAACAGCTCTCTAGTCCACAAGACTGACCCCATTTCCTCCTGCCCTTGGGATACAGCAGCTGTGTGACCCAAAGTCCAGCCACACTGTTGTTGGCATGGCTTAGCGACACCACTTAAACACCCCATTGCTACTATCTGGTTAACCTAAACATCTGAAACAAATGAATGCATTTGTGACAAGAACAACATTGCAAGGTCCTGGAGACAATGAATAAGAAGTTGAAGGAGGGACCAGACATCATTTTCAAGGCAAACTTCTCAGACACAGAGAGAGAAAACCAAGTTCCATTGCCAGCTCTGCTGCTGTTTGACTTCATAACCTGGGCACTTTTCTCTGGATAAAAGGTTCCTCATGTATTAATTGAGAAAATGACTTTTGGGTTCCTTAACAATATAGACATTTGTGCGTCTATATTTAGGAAGGCATGTAGGTATAGCAGGGACTCCCAGAGCCATTATACAATCATGTAATCATGCAATCATTTGAAGAGAAACACAGCAATATTGTTGTGAGCAGGACCTCACGCAGCTGTGATCTGCACATGTACGCACATGCCTATGATTTGATGTGAGACTTTAAAGTGTGGTGACTACTTTTATTTGCATTACTATAGCACAGGCATTTCTGTACTCTCAAAGATAGAAAAGAGAGCTACTTCTAGCTGAACACTGACGCTTTGATCCTGCCTACTTTCCAAAGATCTGCCACCAATTCCTATTCATTTTATAACAGACGCACTTAGAGTATAACTCATTCTGAAATGATTCTCACCAGTGTACACTGTTACCAAATTAATTGGAAAGAAATAACAGCAAAACTGATATCGGAAGTGGTGGGCAAAGTGTTTCACAATATAAAATAAGGGAGAAAAGGATGAGGGATGGGAAGGGCTCTCTTTTCTCCTGTTGCATGTAGACTAGAGTGAATGTCTGGAATCTTTCCACCAGCTGTTAGGCAAGTGTAACAATACCATGTTATCAAAGCAACAACTGCCAGCATGATATAAATGTACATTGGTTTATGTAAAGAAGAACGGTATATTTTCATGGCAACCGCTTGGATTTGGCCCTAGTCTTCAAATGGGATGACATTAGTCACCCCCACACACAATGTCCCCACACTTAAAAGAGAGCTCTTAAGAGTTCTCAGATTTTAGCCCTGTATTTGGCTTACAATAAGTGCTTAATTGACCTTGGATGTTATCATTTAAACTGAATTAAATGATGAATCTTGGAGTGGAGAGATGACTCACTAGATAAAAGTGTCTATACTGGCCATCAGAAGGAAGAGAGAAAAAAAAACCCAAAAGTTGTCCCCTGACACACACACACACACACAGACACACCACACCACAATGGCACACATGTACCCAATCACATATACAAACACATACACTCACAGTAAATAACTATAATTTATAAAAACTTTTGGATGGTGAATTGTGGATCTGATTGCATGTTGTTTTTTACTAAGATTAAACACCACATATGGTTTATTTATACTTAGATATTAATATCATATTTATCTTAGTGATGCCATTTTGTGGTGTTGTTTCTTTTTCAAGACAGGGTTTCTCTGTAGCTTTGGAGCCTGTCCTGGAACTAACTCTTGTAGACCAGCCTGGCCTCGAACTCACAGAGATCCACCTGCCTCTGCCTCCTGAGTGCTGGGATTAAAGGCGTGCGCCACCACCGCCCAGCTTCTTTTTATTTTTTTTTTTAATTTACTTGTTCTTGTTGTGCATTTTTTAATCTTCACCTCCTTTTCTCCCTCCTCATATGTATGCTCTTGGAATTTTATCTTACTTCATTTCTTCATCTCCATGTTAAATTTGTTTGCTAGTTCCATTTAATAAGGTTACATGTTTAAATGACCAATAACATGAGGCAGCTGGACTGAGCAATTTTTAGTTCACTGTCAGGTCAGTTTTAATAGAAAGGATGTATCAGCGAGACATTGTGACTTAGCCATTATGGGGGGGGGCAGCTGGGACTGTCTGAAGATGAAGGAAATGGACACCCTGTTCGCCTGGTTTTTAAATGAGTAGGACCTTCTACCAGACACATCTTCTCATGCCACAAAAATAGGCAGACTCCTATATGTTAGTCTAGAGGAATTAACTCGAAAGGCAGAGAGGAGAGCCAAACACGTGTTATTATAGTATTTAGGCAGTTGGTTACTTTTCTGTAGGCCTTGAGGAAAACACCACCAACAAAAATCCCGATAATTCAGAGCTTGTATCTTAGTTCTGTTTAAAACTTCCCTTTAGAGAAGATGTTTTTGAAGACTCAGAAACAGGTCCTCCTGCCTGTGGTTAGAGGAATGAGGAAACCAGGACGGGGTCCCTTCTGTCGCTTGCTTTCATTCCCTCGTGGGCAATACCCGGCAATGCTAAGGTGAAACGAGGCAGAAAGGAAGCAAGATGAATGCCAAGGAGGGAGGCCTGCATTGCTTTCCAGTTCGGTTCTCAAATCTCATATATATATATATGTCAGTTAAATTTCCTTGTTTCAGTTGAGCATAGAGTCTACTGGAGGTTCCTGTGGTTGCACAAATAGAAAAACATTCATGTGTTTTTGCTTTGTTTTGGGTTCGCAGCTCTTTTTTGCTTTTGAGTTGATAAAGTATGACTTTCAAAGAGATGAACCAATGAGGAACGAACGAGGCTGGTGCCACCGTGTGCGAGAAGGTAAGACGGGTTACGAAGATGCCCTTTTAATCAAAGAGCCTGAATCCACACGTAACTGGTGCTGAGTGCAGGAAAGGCAGAACCACAGTACCGAACGCGATATACCCTGGATTGGAATGCAGGTGGACTGGTTTAACTGCTGTTAAATGAGCCCTTTTTAGGTTAAGTGACCAATTGTTAACTGGTTAAGCGGCATCTCTTTGGCTTTTATTGATCTTCATGTACCTATCTAGTTTGTAATCTGTTGTTTTAATTTTGGCATTTCAGCCAGCAATTGCCACTTTGCAGTTATGGACCTGCATCTCTAGTGGCAGCCCAGCTGCTCAGACTGCAGCCTGGCGGGAATTCTGTTCCCACAGGCATAGGCCCTGTCACTGCCACTAAAGGCAGCTTTAACTAAATCTCTATCATTCTATTTATAAATAAGACTTGAGATTCAAAGGCTGGGGTGAAAACCTGCCAGCTCAGAGAGGTGGAGGAGTATCAACTAGCTAACCCTCTCTCCTTGCTGTCTTTGACTCCACCAAACTAGAACAAGCCGTAACACTCCAGATCCCTCCCTACTACTTCCTGGGTCTCTCAGTCTCCCAGATGCCTTCTGATACTCTATGATTTCTGTCAACTAGTTGCTAACTCAGCCTCCTGATCCAAGGTTAACTGTATTTAGTCAATGCAAATGCAAACTCGGGGTTCACAGTGTGATCAGTATTCCCCAGCAGTAATCATGGCAAATGTCTACATCACATGTTACCAATAATATTAAATTAATTTGTTGTCTTAGATACAAGGAGAAGTCAGGCCACCTTTGATCTAAATTTGAGTTTTGACACTTAGAAAACATGAAACTCTGGTCAGATCAGCTGATCCTAGACTAACTTCCTTCTTATGTAAATCAGAGGTGACATTATTTCACGAGCCTCGTGTTGACAATTAAATATTGTGAATAAATCTTCATGGCTTCTTGCCTTCTTCACTTCTCCATTTTACTCCTCTCCCAAGGTAGACTATATAGAAGTTTCAGTTTAAAAATTTGGATGAAAACAAAGATCTCGATTACTTCTATATCAATATTGAAAATAGACTATTTAGATGTACACTTAGCATTGGCTAGAGATACTATCCGCGTAAATATAACCTGAATACCATTATGAGGCCTCATGCTGCCTCTCACTACACGAGAGTTAACTTCCTAGATCTGGACTTCAGTGTGATAAAGCAAGTTGTAAACCCGCTTTGCTGTTCTTGTTGTTCTCTTACTGGCACTGGAGATATTGCAAAAGAAAGTATTATTTATTTAAAAAATAATCTTCCAAGCCTCTGCATATCAGATCAGTGTCTTGGTGGCTGAAGAGATAACACAGACAGAGGTGTTGTTCTTACATGGACCTGAGTTCAATTCTCAGAACCCATGTCAGGCAGCTCACAACTGTCTGTAACTCTAGTTCCTGGAAATCTGAGTCTCTGGATTGTGAGGGCATCTGCACTCAATTCACTAGTATACATACCCAGACACACACACCCAGACAGACACACACACACACATACGCACACACACTAAAATTAAAATAAACATTTTCAAAATTTTTAATTCAACTCCAGGCACTGTTCAAGAGAAAACGATCAACTTTGGAAAATGTAGAGAACTTGAGGTCTTTTTTAACATGTTTGCTCATAACCACCATGAGATCTGAAACTCAAACTTGAACCTTGGGATCATGTTTATGTAATTTCAGCATTTCTAAAACTACTGCCAGCTCCACTTTAGAACCCTCATGACGAGCGATTGCATTTTACTTTCTATTGCAGCCTTGTGCCTTCATTATGCAAATTGAGAGGAAGATAGGAGTATTTTTTTTAATTCTGGAATATTAAATGTAGCTTGACAGACTACACAATATATATATGAGGCTTTGGAGGAATGTGGACCTAGTCCTAAAATGCATACCCCAACTTCTACGTGTATGACTTCTATGGTTGTATGACATTGGGCAGATTACTCTGTCTGCCTCCCTTTCTGCATTTGTGATGAGAATGGGGCGGATAGATGGGCTGTGCTCTATGAACAGTGATGCTAGGATAAAGTGTGCCAGAGGACTGTGGCGATGATGTCATAGGGGTGGTGCTAGTGGGGCATGGAAAGGATGAGAAAGAATCAGTGGGGCTCTGCGGGAGCAGAGCCTGCATCTTTGTCCAGAGAGGTAAGGTGCAGCCCTTGCTGAGAACCCAGTGAATACTCATCCCACCTCTGCAGCTAATCCAGGAGGTAAACAGTGGCCTAGGAGGCAGCTGCTGTGAAAGCCGCTTTCCTTTACTCTAAATGCAATCCTGTCTTGCAGAGCGTCAAGCACAACCTTAATTAAATGGGCTTGACTAGAATAATGATTTCAGATAAGTGTCTAAGCGTGAGTGGCACTCATAAGTGTCATGAGATTGGAATCTCTAATGCCCTCCATTTCCCTGTCAAGTGTTTCCAGAAAAACATCCTAAAGGACCAAACACTCGGCTACTTTGTTAACTGGGTCAGCCTCCATTACAGATTCTTTCATCCAAAATTGCAAAAGCTTCATTGTGAGTTCTACATCCATTTCTTTTTCTGATTTTGACAGTTGGCTTCATTCCTCTGGACATTCGTTTTTTGTTTGTTTGCCTTTCTGTGAAGTAAGAATTGTTAATGCTAATTGTTAATAAGAATTGCTAATTGTTTCAAACAATTGCTAATCAAATTAAATGCAATTATATTTGCAGAGCAGGCATGGTCCCTAATATGTACTGCTATTAACAGCTTATTAGAACTATTGAGTGACTTGTTCTTAGTATTACCTGCATTAAAAATCTGGGCAGTTCCAAGAGACATTACCTTTAGTCTGTCAACTAATTAAAAAAAATAAATTCACATTTCCTTTGCATACAATTCCTGCCATTAATTTTTTCAAAGCTGTCTGTGAAAGAACATTCTAGACGTAGGCATCAAGAATAAATGCCATTAAGTGGGATGGAAACAAACACCAAGGGAATAAGAGCCTACAGGAGCTGGGCCCGTCTGCTATAACTAGGTACATATGCACTGTCTGCTAAGATACTTGTCAGATCAGATGGCTGCAAAAATGGCCCTTTCTCTTGCAGGAGAACCTGGACTTCTCATCTCTCGCGTCAATACGAAGAATCCTTTCTTTGGCTACGCTGGCTCTTACAGGCACACGAAAAGCAAGCTGCTTTTTGATGTTTTTAAGAAGGGAGATGTTTACTTCAATACAGGAGACCTCATGGTCCAAGATCACGAGAACTTCCTTTATTTCTGGGACCGTATTGGAGACACTTTCAGGTAGGAATGGCGCTGGATGCCCAGCTGGTCCTGTGCCTGTGAACCCATCTTCTGTAGAAAGCAGAGACGCTGCTGCTGTGATTTCAGACACACAGGGTCCTTTCATTTCCATGATGATTCCTCTGCTCAAAGATTCACTCACGATTCATTTCTAGAATGAACTATGAGCCCTGATGTCAAACTCTCTAAGTGTTTTTAAAAACTAATTAGTAGTCTGTACCCAATCAGTAGGACACAAAAGCAGAAGCGACGTGAGAAGCTAGTATTAGCGTTAAAAACAAGTACTGTGTGAAGTTGCGAGTGAGGATTAAACAGAAGAGCCATAAATTCATTCATTCATTCATTTCTTATCTCTTATATCTCTATTTAGTGTTGGGGAGGAAGAGTACATGACACACATGCATGTTGCTTTGGGGAGTTGTTTCTCTTCTCCCACCTTGTCTGTTCATGGGACTGAACTCTGGTTAGATGACAAGGGTCTCCATTCATTGAACTGTCTCACTAGTCCTGAGATTATTTATGATGTAATGAAAGTATTTTGAAACTGAGACTGCTCGCTCAGTTAACATTTTATTTTCTAATTTCTAAAACTTGTCTTAGCCTACCTAAAAGTTTATTTTACTTTGTTATTCAATGTTATTCAATAGACTAGTCAAGAGCATAGAGTAAGTATCTAACAAGGGCTTGATGAATAGACAAACGGAATAAATTAGTAGTATGTCAAATTCTCATCTTATAAAATTGTGTTCATTAAAATAACAGAATTGAAGGAGTCAATACCTAGAGATTAAAGTGGGTTAAGATACTGAGGTAGATGTAGTATTTCTTTCAATTCCTACTACTAAAGATAAAGTTTTAAACTTAATTTTTACTGTTGTACAAAGTAGTGATTTTGTACTAATATACCCTCCTTATCATGATTTATTTTATGACTCTATTAAAAATATTTAACACTGAACAATTTATACCAATAAAACTCTAAGTTATTTTAACCAAACCACAGCTGCTGCTGTTATTGAACCTTGAACAAAATGCTTTAGAAGACATGCATAGCTTTCGCTTGGCAACTAGTTATTTTTGGCCACTAGGTGCTTCACAGAGCCAAACTCAAGTCACAAAAACTGCAAGCGGGAGTCGGCTCTTCAAATACCTACACTCACTCGGATCCGTCTGTCTTCTAGGTGGAAAGGAGAAAATGTTGCGACCACAGAGGTTGCTGACGTGATCGGGAGGCTGGACTTCATACAGGAAGCAAATGTATATGGTGTGTCTGTGCCGGGTATGTGGATGTTGACAACTTTGAGATTTGTAGAAAAAAAGCGCATGTCCACTTTAGGTTCTATTACTTTCTTACTCAATATTTAAAATTCTACATCTTAAAATTAATAGTTTACAAGTTCTCATCTTGCCTTGGCAAACAATGTCCTTGGATAAGTTAAGAAACCTGATGGACACATTAGAGAAGAGGTACATACGAACTTTCACGTTCTGTATTTTTTTAGGCAGGAGCTAGAAAACGTGGCCAGGGTCTTACTGCTTGGAAATCATTGAAAGTGATCTTTCCTATTGTCTCAGTTTTCTTGTTATGACAAGTGTTGGTGCATCCCACTAGACCGGAACACGTTCTAGTTTAAATGTTAAATAATACTACGTGTGATAAAAGTGTGTCCTTTAATGCAAGTGACAGTGTTTCCTGCTAATGCTGTGGGTGGCGGGGAGGCCAGGGATGCAGCAGAGGAAGAAGGGACAGGTTCAGAAGCTGTCGCCAAGGATGGGAGAAATGCATCAGTCCTCTGAGGCCTGCAGATGACACAGCAGGTGGTAAGCAAGGCGGCCTTAGTCAAAATACCCATTTCTGGGTTGTTTTTTTTTTTTCTTCAAATAGTCCCTTTATTTCTTTTTTTCATTAGTGATTAAAATGTATGTTTTTGCTGGTCTATAGTTACCTCTAAATAAATATTTTCATTCTTAATATTTGTCGCGATGGGATACAAATTATACCTAATTTATTTTGTTGACCATCTTACTAGTTTCATTTCTGAAGTACAACCAAGGACAAAGTGTGGTCTTCCCTATTGTTCAGTTATTTCTAGTGATTACATCATATATCAGGGAAAGACACAGACTCAGTTGCCGCATTGTTACCTCTGGAATAGACCAAGTGTCTCAGTAGCAAGGAGTGTGTGACAAGACTGATCTTGAAAATTTGTCTGGTAATACACTGATTTTATTCCAAACCTTCCCCCAGGTTACGAAGGAAAAGCAGGGATGGCTTCTATTATTCTTAAACCAAACAAGTCTTTAGACTTAGAGAAAATGTACGACCAAGTTGTAACATCTCTACCGGCTTATGCCTGCCCACGGTTTTTAAGAATTCAGGTAATTTTACAGCTTCAAACTTTATTGTTAAATATAAGAACCAGAGCCAAGAGGTGAGTCAGTAGCAAAATGCTGCTGTCTCCTTTAGATAATGTGTGAATTTTATTTATATTAGTAAATTTTAAGAATAAAAAGCAGAAAGATACATTGCTGATGCTCTTTGATGCTGTACTTGGAGTTGTGTGAGAAGGAAGCAAGGTGAAGTGTTGGGTTTGTCTTTGTCCTTCCTGTGGAGTTTTCTCCTCTTCAGCAAGGACCTCTGGACCAAGTGATGCTCTCAGTGAGGGTGGCAAACCAAAACTGTACCTTGCACATATCTTCCTCCCACCCTCTTTGTACAGTCCTTAGGTGAGGTCCTCTCCCTCTTGCATTGTGGGAAATCCTGAGCTCATCTATGTTGGGATAAAGGCTCTCGTTTTGTTGGATTGCTAGTAAGGAGTGGCTTGAAAATAACTTACTCAGCTACTGATAACTTTACCTGTTCAGTTACTCAGTTAATACTGCGGCTCAAATGCAATTTCCCAAACTTAGTAGTTTTCCATTTTAGCATTATAACACACAGACTTTTACAGAATATATGTGTTATGTTACTATCAAGTAATAAGTGGAACAGAAATTACATTCGTTTTTATAGCATTTGAAAATCAATACTCATAGCCAAAACACTTCTTATCCACGGTGCACATCATCTGAAGTTATTTATATTTCATTTGCCTAATATATATATATATATATATATTAGATAATTTTCAGAAAAATTCTCTGAAATTATAAAGGCAAATAAATATGAAAAAGAAGTGACATATATTAGTTGGAACTTGAATTGATGAAGTTGAGGACTAGCATTTAGTTTTAAGTGTTAACATGTATGTATATATATATATCTTGTATATATATATATCTTGTATATATATATATCTTGTATATATATATATATATATATATCTTGTATATATTTTACTCACATTAACACAGGCACATGTGGCACTACCAATCCAAGTTTACTATCAATTTTCCCATATTTACTTGTGTACTTACATGTCATGTGCATGTGTTTCCTATACATCATCTTTTGTATACCTTCTATATACCCTCTTTATATATGTTATATATATATAAATCCCTAATATATAATTCTAAATATAATAAATACAGCCTGCTCAGTCCATATAATGTTTTACTTATATATACATTCTTTCAGGGCTTACTATTTGGTGTTGGGTTAATCAATTTGGGGGTTCTTCCTTGAGGAAGATTATTTCATCTCACTCCCAGCATTCTTTAGCTGTCTCTAGTTCCTAGTCTAGGTTGAAGACCCTGTGAGATTTCTTCCTCTGTGTTAGCATGTCTGCTGGTGTCATCCACGTTCAAGTCTTGCTTAGGCAGCCATGTTGTTGCGATGTCATAAGTTTAACTTTCCTGGCCTTTCTAGGAAATGTAATCTCACAGCGGAAATTCTGTTCTTCTGGCTCGTTCAATCTTCTGTCCCTTCTTTTGAAACTATTCTCTGAGCCTCATGTGCAGGAGTTGTGTTATAGGTATGTCCGTTGAAGTTGTAGTTTTCTGTGATAGTCTTCAAACAAAATGTTTGTTATCTGTGGGTATAACTAAATATTTAGAATACAGCTAGGAATTACACTGGTTTAGTAATATGGAGGTTGTAGGGTCTCCTCCAAGATCCATGACCCCACTAGCTAGGTGTATTCTCTCGGGTAGCTGGATACATTACTAATACAAGGCATGATCTTCTCGTTATTGAGAAGTTCCTAAGTCCAGTTAGAGAATCTTTGGTTACCACTAAGATATAAGTCCTTATGAATTAAGACAGTGGCCAGAGGATCTGAGCTTCATGTGGCCTGAAAGGCTCCTCTCTGAGGACTAATTTTTTTCTATTAATTTATTTGTTTATTAAAGATTTCTGCCTCCTCCCCGCCACCACCTCCCATTTCCCTTCCCCTCCCCCAATCAAATCCCCCTCCCTCATCAGCCCAAAGAGCAGTGAGGGTTCCCTGCCCCGTGGGAAGTCCAAGGCCCTCCCACCTCCTTCCAGGTCTAGTAAGGTGAACATCCAAACAGCCTAGGCTCCCACCCAAAGAAAAACACATAGTCATCCTCCTGGATATTAACCTTCATCACGCGATGAAAGGAGACAGTGACACAGTCTCACATTGAAGCACCGGACTACAACCCCAAGGTCCAAATCAGGAGCAGAAGGAGAGAGAGCACGAGCAAGGAACTCAGGACCGCGAGGGGTGCACCCACATACTGAGACAATAAAAATGATCTATCAGGAACTCACCAAGGCCAGATGGACTGGGTCTGAATAAGCATGGGATAAAACCGGACTCGCTGAACATAGCAGACAATGAGGACTGCTGAGAAGTCAAGAACAATGGCACTGGGTTTTGATCCTACTGCATGTACTGAGGATTAATTTTTATGGTACTAGAAGATGCAATAGAAGCTTCCAAGGGAGGGAAGCAGCCAATATTGCTACCTTTGCCTTTTATAGCTGCTCCCACTCTTCCCTTTATCCCCCCTGTTGTCCCACAAGAAATATATCTTCACAAAACAGAACACAGATTTAGAAAGCAATATTTTAGCCTTTATTCCTAGCATAGCTTAAAATTTACTCACAGAAGCAGAAGCCACATTTTATTATTGAACTATTCTAGACTAGTTCAGCATCACAAGCATTTAGAAAATCTTTTAATATCGTTAATTTTCCAAATAGAACATTCACTATTACAGTAATGATTATTATTTAATTTGCTACAATTAACAGAAAGCATATCATTTAAAGCTTCATACACAGATGTCAAAATATTTATGCAGCAGGGCTTGGTGGCACCCACGTTAATCCTAGCACTCTACAGACGCAAGTGGATCTCTTTGAGTTTGAGGTCAATCTGGTTTACATAGTGAGTTCAAGACAAGGAAGGCTATATAGTGAGACCCTGTCTCAGAAAATATATATAACAAATTAATTATAGCAATAAGTAATCTGAGAAAATACAGAACTAAAACTTACTTTTGACCATATGAATAAAGCAACTTGTTTTTTTTAATTTTTTTCCTTTTTTATTAAAAATTTCCACCTCCTCCCTTTTCTCTCTCCCTCCCCCCACTCCCCTTCCCTCACGCTTTCCAAAGAGCAGTCAGGGTTCCCTGCCCTGTGGGAAATCTAGATCCTCCCCACTTCATCCAAGTCTAGGAAGGTGAGCATCCAAAAAACTAGGCTCCCACAAAGCCAGTCCATGCAGTAGAATCAAAACCCAGTGCCATTGTCCTTGGCTTCTCAGTCATCCCTCATTGTCATCCATGTTCAGAGAGTCCGGTTTGATTACATGCTCCATCAGTCCCAGTCCAGCTGGCCTTGGTGAGCTCCCATTAGATCAGCACCACCATCTCAGTCAGTGGTCCTGACTTCCTCCTTCTGCTCCTCATTTGGACCTTGGGAGCTCAGTCCAGTGCTCCAATGTGGGTCTCTGTCTCTATCTCCATCCATCACCAGATGAAGGTTCTATGGCGATATGCAAGATATTCATTAGTGTGGCTATAGGATAAGGCCTGTTCAGGCACCCTCTCCTCTGTTGCCCACAGAACTAGTTGGGGACATCCCCTTGGACACCTGGGAACCCCTCTAGAGTCAAGTCTCTTGCCAACCCTAAAATAACTCCCTTAATTAAGATATCTACTTCCCATAAAGCAACTTCTTTGTGAAAAATTTAATTCACATTCTTAACAGGGTAGTTTTGCTCATAACAGAACTTCTAAATGTGATAGCACTCAGTATGGCTAAATAAAACTAACTCCGTCGTTTCGTTCTACTCCAGAGACACAAACTACTAGAACCTACTCTCTAGAACTACTAGAGAATACGTGTGTCATAAATTTTGTCTTTTATAACTCTCTTATGACAACATTGTATATTTATAATATTGTTTTGGTATTGTCATGAGTTAGGGTATGTCTATGTCTTTCAAACATACTTTGTTTATTGATTATCCTAATAATTACTATGCATTCAGTAAGCTAGTATTTCAATAAAGTTTACAGATGAATTAAAGTTTTCTATTTCTAATGTTAAATTAATACTAAATGTAAAGATATAAACTATGATAAGGAGATATGGCCTACATTGTTAAACACTGTACTCATACGTAGCAGCTACCGTGCATACCATACTAATAACTTGTTCCACTCAGATCTGTAATTGTTTCCTAGGAGAAAATGGCAACAACAGGGACATTCAAGCTTCAGAAGATACAATTGGTGGAAGAAGGATTTCATCCGCTGAAGATTTCTGACCCACTTTACTTTATGGATAACTTGAATAAAGCTTACGTTCCATTGACGGAAGAAATTTATAATCAGATAATGTTAGAGGAGCTTAAACTTTGAAACCGTTTTTTTATGGGACTTTGATGCCTTCCTGGGAAAGAAGAAGGAGGACAATTGAGCTCTTTGATTGACAGTCGGGGAGGGTTCCTTCCATAAGTACACCATAACTGGAAAGATTGTACGTAAAGAATGCATTTGCTATACCTACGCTTTCAAGGCCCATCCTTCTCAGCACCGTGAGTCAGGAGGGATGCGATATTCAGCCCATCCATGGTCATGCGGCTAAGGTGAGATGCTGCTCACAGCTGCTGCCCAGCATCTCCAGAAAGTGGCTTACTGCATAGAATGGGCCCAAGAGGGGATCACGGTTCAAAGTACAGTGTTTCCTGGGTACATTTAGGAAGTAAAACCAAACAGGGCATAGTATTAGCACATGACTCTGAGACTATAGGAAATGTGGTGATTTCCTCTGAAGAGATGGGGAAGTTGTGTTTCCTTCACTGGCAAACATTCCTTGAGTTTAATAAGACTTAAATTTGCTTTATCTGGTATGAACTTTAGCTGATTGTTTTTTTTTTAAATTTGAGGGTTCAGTGCATAACTAAATACTTGCCTTAATAGTGAAGATTTTAAATAATACATAAGTAGTTAACAGTTTAGCCACTTAAAATACGTTCTAATATGTGAAGATTCTAGTTTCCGATGAACAGTAAAATTTTTACTCAGCCTATTTTTATAGGCTCTATCTTGTAACTCAATAAAATCATCTTTAATAATACGTGATTTGGGTGTTTCTTTTTTATTATTTTGTGTGTGTGTGGGGGGGTGTTTTGCCAGCATGTATGTCTGTGCACCATGTTTGTGCCCACTGCCCACAGAGCCTCGAAGAGGGCATCAGATTCCTCAGCACTGGAGTTAAATAGTTGTGAGCTGCCATGTGGGTGGAACTGAACCCCAGGTCTTCTGGAAAATAGCCAGTGTTCTCATCCACAGGGCCCTCTCTCTAGCACGGTGATTTGTGTCTTTGTTGTGTTGATTTTAAGTGTAATCCCCAATAAAAGGAATCTGACATGCATCCATGTACTCCCATCGCCTTTCTCTTAAACACACACTAAGGAGACAAACAGATGTGAAAATATCAAAGGACGGAGCTGGGAAACAGGTGAATCCATGTCCTTAGAATTGTTGGGCAGCTGTAGAAATGGAAGAAGATTAGCGACAACTTTTCACAGAGTCATAGGAACCACAAGAGTAATAGATAGAACAGCTGGACTAGAACAGAGCTCTGGAATTGCCTCCAAGATCAAAGACAGAAAGAGCAGTCGGTCTGAACAAGAACGTGAGGAGTTCCCTGAAACACAGGGCACCACGGACAGTGTGGGGAGCAGTGTGCTGGTCTTACACTGGGGCACTTAGACCCAATGTTACCTTTACTCTAGAACCACAAAACATCCCTCAGTAAGGTAAAGTATCTTCCGGAGGAAAGTGGTAAGGACTGGTTGTGGTTCGAGTGTGTAATCACCAAGCTGCCTGTGCTGGACGCTTGGTTTTTGTGTTACTGGTTGTTTTTCACTGTCTACTCTTTCACTCTTTGTTCTTTGTTCTTAGGGAACCTGCCACCCAGCTCCCAAATAAATCACACAAGGAGTTTTACTCTTACTTATGAATGTCTGGCCATAGCTTGGCTTATTTCTGGCCAGCTTTTCTTAAATTATCCCATCTATTTTTTGCCTCTGGACTTTATCTTTCTCTATTTCTGTAGTTTTTTTTTTTTAAAAATTGATTTCTCTGTGATTTGCTGTATAGCTGGGTGGCTGGCCTCTGGAGTCTTTTCTTCTTCCTTGATTTCTTTTTTCCTCCCAGATTTCTCCTCCCATTTATTCTCTCTGCCTGCCAACCCCGCCTATCCTTTCTTCTGCCTCACTGTTGGCCGTTCAGCGCTCTAATTATACCAATCAGGTGTTTCAGACAGGCAAAGTAATACAGCTTCACAGAGTTAAATAAATGCGACATAAAAGAAGTCAACATATCTTTGCATCATTAAACAAATGTTCCACAGGGTAAACGAATGTAACACTCTTCAGCTAATATTGCACAACACCAGTGTACAATGTTGAGGCGATAGAATGTTTCAAAGGCACAGTCTCCTGGAAAAAAAATTCAGTCCTTGGGGTGGACATCCTTGGAAAGGATTAGTGAGAACTTAGTTCCCTCGCACTCCAGTTCATTCCTGTGCTTGGCTTCTCCTGAGCATGCCTATTTTTGTTGTCACACAGCCTAAGCGGTCCTCACTAGAAGGCAAACAGATATGGCCACATGATCTATAGATCACTTTCAGCCTCTCAAAATGTTAGCTAAGTAAACATTTTTTTGTGTGTAAGTACTCACCCAACCTCATGCATTTTGTAATAACAACAGAAAACCCATTAAATTAGAAGACCTTATAGAGGAAGATTAAGAAGTGGGATAGGGTCCAACCAGATGACCCTGAACCTGTTAACCTAGCTCTCCAAAAAGAAAGTTTGACTGTTTATGTTGTCTAAGAAATCCTGCATACCAATATATGAATGAAATGGATGGATTTCCTTTATTTAAAATGTTAAGTGAATGTATGAGCCTCTATTAATGCTCACATTAGTATTTGCCTTTATCATAAAAATTTTGCTTGGAGTATGTGCTTTGCAGTTTGTGGTTGTCCTTTAAGAATAAACTGTGTTAGCATGTTTCCACTACTTTATAACTCCTTAAAAGCCAGGGAGAATGAACGATAATAAACAACACATTTGTATAGCACCCTGTACCACTACTCCAATTTGCCAAATCCGCAGATGTTAGGAGCAGATGTTTGGAAGAGAACAATGCATTCCAGAAATGGGGCAGGAATAGAAAGTGTCACAAGTGGGTAGAGCTTTGTGAGAAGTTGCTGGGAAACACAGCAGATGAGATCATGTGTTCAAAGAAACGGTGGGAGAAAAGAGAAAGGGCATTACACAGTTGAAATACTTCACAGGCAAAATAAGCCAATTATGCAGTAAACACATATGAAAACCTAGGCGGAACTGTATGAAATCACGACAGTAAATCGCAGAATGTTGCATCGGATGCTTCTGCATTCCCATTGCTGGTGGAAAACATCCATGAGCAGACAATCTTATCCCTGACTGAGCAAAGCAGAGGAAATCATGATCACATGAATGGACAAGTTTACTCGGAACAAAAGCAAACCCCAAGAAGGGCTAATGTTTTTAAAGTGCTGTACACTAGGAGAAAATAAATAGGCCATCCCCCTTGTAGTGTACGAATAGATAATTGCATTAAAATTATTCACAATTATACCGCATAAATACAGACTTTCAGAAAAATGTCTTAGGCAACTTCTGTTATGAATGTAAATATGTCTTCATGTATTTCTACAGAGATGGGTGGATGCTTCTATGAGAGAGGGTAGAGAGTGAGGAAGAGAGGGTAGAAGCTATTTAGTATCTAGTGAATTCGAATCTCTACTGGATGCTAAGCAACAAGAAAATATCTCAAGAAATTTATATTGGTCACATGAAATAATAATAGCAAAAATATGTCTCATTTATCAAAACTAAGAAGCCCAGATGAAGCTGGGAAAGCATTATATTTTAAACACTCTAAGTGTCAAATCAGAACTCCATGCCCAGTGAAAATGTTTTCTAGGAAGGAAGGTGAAGTACAGTCTCAGCTATGGCATCTTATAAATAGTCAGGAAAGTTTGCCCATGAAAAATGTTTACACTTAATGTAGATGGAATAAAATGTCAGCTAGCATAAAGGATGAAAGATCTGATGAATAACGCAGACATTGATTGAACATTGAAGAATATATCTGAAAATTGTTAATAATTTGGGAGAATTAAAATAAGAATGGACTGTATTTCCATGACTCTAAGTTAGAAAGCACAGCTCTACAGGCAGTGTGAATGGGAGTCAAGATGGCTGCAACCTTCTCAAGGTCTTGGTCTGTCTGTCGGACCTTTCAGTGCATATGAAGAACTGACTCAGAAATTTTATTTCTAAGGGTAAAGGAAAATGGTAAGAATATATGTTTCAGCATTTTCTGTAAATGGATGTTTCTCCATCGCGTCCCATCCCACAGCTGTTTCTTAATAATCACTTAGAGACTTAATATTGATTACAAAATATTTGGCCTATACCTCAGGCTTATTACTCACTAGTTCTTACAATTTAAATTAACCATTTTTACTAATCTACATTTTGCTACGTGGCTTCCTGGCTTTACCTGTCCTCTAGTACATCTTGCTCACAGGGAGGCTGGATAGCATCTCTCTCTGACTCCGCCCTTCTCCTCTCTGAGAGCAACACATATTCACATCCCATCGAAGAATCATCCCACAGCAACGTTCGGTTTGGGAGAGCATTATTAATAACACTGAATACTGTCGATAACCTCAAATGGGAAACGATTGTACAAATATTGATAGAATTCATACTTATTTGGGCTCCATGGGGTTATAAAGAACAATTGACATGCTAACATGTGTAGTAATAAGGGGCGGCCGGGCCGCGTTCCCCCAGCACCCCGGCCGCCTGCTCGGCTAGCTTATGCCCCGAAATAATTACACGGACACTGTATCCTTTTAATCACTGCTTGGCCCATTCTCTTCTAGGCTAATTCTCACATATTAATTTAGCCCATTTCTAATCATCTGTGTATAGCACCCCAAGGTGCGCTTACCGGGAAGATTCTAGCTTATATCCATCCTGGGTCGGAGCTTCATCCCGGGAGCAGGGCATGGCGTCTCTCTCAGGCATCTGCTCCTGAGAGCAGAGCTGTTGCGACTCTGGGCTCACTTCACTTCCTCCCAGCATCCTGTTCTGTTTACTCCTCCCACCTATCCTCTAACCAATAAAATGGGCCAGGGCAGTGCCTTTATTAGCCAATGACCTTCCTCCATCAAACATGGCCTGGCATTGAGTGATATTGCTAGGTTTAGGTATTAAGCTTCCCTCAAAGGCTCAAATGTTAACGGTGTGACCTGAAGTTTGTGGTGAAAAACTGTGAAACCTCTAGAAGGTGAATGAAGTGGAAGGAAGTTGGGTTAATGGAGTAAGGCCTTTGAAGGGTAAGTTAGACTCCAGCTTCTTTCTCTCTCTCTTTGCTTCCCAGCTGCCTTCACTTAAGAACTTTTGTCCTAGGGCACACTCCCAGCCATGGAGTTCTGCCCAGCAATAGACCCAAAAGCAAGAGTCAGCCGACCATGGCTCTAGTAAACAAAAGCCACAGGAACAGTAAGCCCCAAATAAGCTTTTCCTCCTTTAAGTTGGTTTGTCTCGGGTATTTTATTATAGCAGTGAACACCAATTGGCACAAATCCCCACTGACATAGAATGAACAAAATAATAATAAAAGAGTTTATCATTTTAAAAAAATATATTGACAATGCAGATATTTGAAATTTTTTTAAAAAATTAGTTAAATGAAAGGCAAGTATAATATTGGATGGAAAGAGGTTTTTTATTTTATAAAATTTATATTAAAAAGTTCCTGCAAATAAATAAAAATATCACACGCTAAATTTACCAGACCCAAAGTCTATATATCTCAAACTTCTATACAGTAAGAATAGAAACTTAAAAAGGAAGGTATGTTCCTTTGCATTAAATTGATCTTATACTTTTGGTGATGAATGTATACATATATATGTATTATATAACTATATTTCATTTAAGAGGTGAATTTTTTACTCTCTTACTTTA